CTGAGAAAGAGGCAGAGGGAGAGAATAAACACAAGAGAACAGATGGAGAGAAGACAGAGCAAAGGAAGACTGTCTTGGGGGCATGCCACAAAAAGTGGAATGAGGACGAAAGCAAAGCAGAGGTAGAAAGGGGGGGGCTCAAGAATCAGGTTGTCCTTCGATCCCACGGACATACATTGTAAGGAAGAGAAGTTAATATGAACACATGGAAGACCAGCATGGCTGAGCATTCTCAGTACAAAAACTGCCACGACAGGCGGCATTGAGCATGCCCACCATCCACTCTCCCCAAATGGGGGGTACATTACAGGCCCTTTGTTTTGTATTCAATATAATAATTGAATAATATAGATTATTGATAGTCAATATATCACCGGATGTGATGCCGCCTTTCCCAATGAAAGGTTTCATTAGCTTGAACGCCAGCTGTCGATGGGGAGACATCTCCAGGAGACTGTCAAGGGGTAGTTGTCCTGGATCCCCTACAACAACATTATTTCTTTTGGGGGGGGTCTGCAGACCCCTAGGGGACACCCCCCAAAAAAATTCAGGCTGTTCTGAACAGACACGAAAATAAATAAATAATTTAAATAAAGTCATAAACAGTGAAACAGCCCCCGCTTCACCTGTGCTCACAGCCCAGCACTGCACCACCCAAGTTCCCTCTCCCCGCCCCCCCCCCCCAAATCGGACATGGCCCCAACGTGGCCCAAATTCGACCAAGCCCGACTTTTTAAATTTGTTTTAATAATAAAGGGGTTGGGGGCCTCCCAGGGGCATTGCCCATCACTGAGCATACACATAAAACACACACCCCACACACACGCACGCACACACACACACACATCTGCTGACACAGCTGCTGCAGTAGTACCTGATGCAGCAGATGGAACTGCTGTACGTGCTGCACACAAACACAATCTCTCTCTCTCTCTCTCTCTCTCTCTCTCTCTCACACACACACACACACACACACAAAACACACCCCTATTGCTGCACACAATGCACCAATAGGGTACAGTGTCGACTGTGTCAGCCTTTTAAAAAAATGTACTCTCGCCCCTTCCCACAAAGCCTCTACCAGGCCTGGGCACTGTAGATTTTGCCCCAACACTTGTGTACATGCAAAATCCACCGTGCCGCTTGCGCTCTGACTCCTGTTTTAAGATTTTAAAAGTCATTTATTTAGGAACTTAACATTGAACAGCGATACACGATGGTAGTTTCAACAAGAATGACGCGTTTTGTTTTTTTGTTTGCTTTTTTCTTGCCAGTACTAGGAAGTATTTCCATTGATAGATGGACAAAGTTCACGGCAAAACTTCGTTCGAAATGGTGGAAACAGATTCTTCGCTTCGCGTGAACATGTATGCGACTTATCTAAATATAGCAGATCAAATTCTCTCTCACAGCCAGAAGGAATAGTTCCAAAAGAGTTCCAAAAGAAATACCATATGGTTGTCCACGAGCCGGACATCCAGACACCGGGCCCAGACCCATGTCTGGATAAATCTGGGCCCGTGTCTGGATAAATCCAGAAAGTCTGGTAATCCAAACATCGATCCAGGCAGCCGGACATACAGACCTGGACGGTCCGGTTATGCCCCAAACCAAACACCAGATCCAGAAATCCAGACCGGAGCGACTGGATCCCGACCCGCACGAGATGGGGAATCTCTTTTTTCTTAGGAGACAGGGATCTTCATGCTAAATTGACTATCTAGACTGTTTGGGATAAGACTGTTTGGGATTTTTCCCAAACTGTTTGGCAGATTCCCGTGCGTTACGCACCCGTTCGCCACTTTGTTTTCAACTGAGAAAACAATGTTCGACTTGCATGTGTAAAGCATATCACTAGCGTTCATTCTGAGCAAGGATCAAACTCTGTTTTTTTTAATTATGGCTTAATTTCTGGAATGTAGGATTTGGACCTACAACAACAAGTTTATCAGTCCCAGTCAATCCAAGTCAAACCAATCTTAGTTATTCAGCTGCTTGTTTTGTTGTGGCAGCTGCGTAGACTCTTTTGGGTGGGTGAGTTGCATTCTTAGCTCAGCTGGATAGGGAAACAACCTTCTAAGTGGAAGGTCACAGGTTCAAATCCTGAAAGGATACTGAATTCTTCGGGAGAGTGGTAGACTAATAATAAAATAAATACGTGCAGCTAACTAAATGCCATAAAGGCTTAGCGTACTCGGGCTTGGTTGGTTGGTGGTGATTTCTATTAAGTATTTTTACCACCAACGATAATGAGAAAAGGTACGATTTGATTCAGCGAATTTATAAAGATGGCCTCTTTTAGGGACCCCCATCGTTTTACTTATTCCTAACTCGAAAATACGGTTCATACGAAGTATTGCCTTTTGCACCTCTGAGAACTCGATTTTATCTGAATATAAATATAGATTAAATAATCTTAAACAGGTTGAATCAACAATTTGTCAATTTTAATATATATATTTTTGACGATATATATATATATATTTTTTTTCAAATCAGAAACAATATGCTGGTTGGAACTTGGGCCACCCTCTGACACGACTCACCCGAGAACCGATGTAGCATTCCCTTGTCATCGCGATAAGCCGCCACTTTCATCAAGTGGTCTTGTATGACAGCTCCGCATCCACGCGGCACGTCCTCAATGGACATGAAATCAGTGCCCATCATAGGCACTAAATCAAGGTACCCCTGCAGCCAGAACACCAGCCCAACCCCAACGTACACGTCATTCATTGCAATCACATTCTATACTTTCCCCCAGTCCATTTTTATGATGTCACTTCAACTCCAAATCCAAAATTCAAATTCCCCTCCTATGGAACTCCGCACACTGGGCACACTACACTACTCTGGAAATCAATCATGCAATTTCCGCCAAGAACTTTCATACGACATCGCACGTAACACTACTCACAAATCAGGCAATTTTCGAGAAACATCATACAAAAGTTGCTTCGCTTGTCACAACGCTACTCTCGAAATCATGCAATTTCAGAGAACTGTCATACGACTTCGAGAGCAGTGTTTTGAGAGAGGTTTGGGCTCTCTTCGCCACACTGCCTCTCGGACTACCCTCTCACAAACCAAAAGGACAAACAATAAATGAATCTGGCCCAACAATTTCGTCGCATGCCACTGTAGGAGAGAGGTCGTGGAGGGAGGGTGAGTGAGCCTCTGGGAATTGAGTTAGCTGCAGGCTCCGGTGCGAAGGCAAAGTTTCACAGAGGGCCTCTGGAAGGTCAAAATATTGACACCCCCAGTCTCGTTTTTTGCATTTTCGTGTTTGAGAGGTAGACCGGCAGCGACAACCTCTCGAGAACCGTAGCAACTGTTCCGAGAGTCGCATGGCAAGGTCCTATTCCTCTTTCATTTCTAGACCACCAAGTGGGACCAAAAGAGAAAACACAAAAGAAACGAACACAAGAAAAGACAAACCCACAATAGAAAAGACAAACGCACAAACAAAAAGGACAAACGATGAAAGCAAACACAAGCACCATATCGGGGCTCGCTGCACTACTCTCGACATGCACAAAAGACAAATCATGGCCGTGCATCTTTCCATATTCTAGCGGAAGATTCCCTCTCCTTTTGCACATTTCGCACGTCTCGAGTGTAGTGCAGCAAGGCCCATAGTGACTTCACACAGGTAACCAGCACGAACCACCACCTTGGATGAGTCTAAAATCCTGTCCCTCCCGAAAAAAAAATTAATAAAAAAAATAAAATAAAAAAAATAAAATAAAATAAAATAAAAAATAAAAAATAAAATCCTGTCCCATTGCATTCGCACATTCTCCTACAAATGTCACAAATCATACTTGCTGCCATAGGCACATTTGAGACTACACAGCTGGCCCATTCCTCCTCGACAATCCAATTCCAAATTCGTTTCCCCATCCTTCTAACAAGTCACTGTATTGTTTTGTGTTCCCATCTGGCCTGCTGGCCTGCATGCATGGAGGTGGAGGTGATGGATGCTAGACAGAGTGCCTCGCCCCACGGCATACGAAACGAAAACGAAACGAGTGCATCTGCCCAAGGAAGGTGGCAAGATACCCTCGTTACTAGTTACCGCAAACGGATGAACCTGGCCATTTTCTGCGGGAAGATGCACTCATTTCGTTTTTCGTTACTTGTGCCGTGCGGCGACGCCCAGAGGCCATACTCACATTAGGTGGAGGTGAGGTATGCTAGACAGAGGCCACACTCACATTTGGACTTGGGATGTCTAGAGGTAATCACCGTCAGATGCATCCTGCCCGGGTTGTAATTACGGTCAGATACATCAAAGTGAGGGAGTGCCCAGAGACATACACCTGGCTATGATGAGCAGCCGCAGGGTCAGGGTCCCACTGTCGCCAGTTATCGGTCTGGGTTGCGAATCTGAAGCACCAATGTTCAGAATAGAAGAATTGGACGACCGAAAATTTAGGATTCTATAATTTCCATCTCACAGATCCTCGTCTTTTTTTAAAGACATTTCCTTTATGTTAGGACCAGCGCTGAGACGTGTTTGCAGCCATGCAAGAGACTCCATCGGAATTGACGATTCCGTCCAATAGCAAGCTCGGGCTCGAACAAAGAGCTTCACCTTTTGGAACGTGTTTGCAGTCAGATGACACCTTCATAGAGATGCGGATGGGTGTCCCATGGAGCTGAGATGAATTTCTTTGTGTGTGTTCTCACAGAAGCCACCCCTTCATGCCTCAACATTCTTCTTTCCTTAGCTAGCTAAGGGCACTTGTTGGCCCTACCTCGGATATATATGTCGGAAAGCAGTTGCAGGCACCAGCGCTAGGGCAGCACACCCCTCTTAGCCCCAGGTGAAGCACTATTGAACAAGCCTTATCACACTTCAGGCACCAGCGCTAGGGCAGGACACCCCTCTCCGCCCCAGTTGAATCACTATCGATCGAGCCGTATCACACGGCAACCCAAGCGTAATCGTCTTTCATCCAGAGCAACAGTCCTATCCTATCAGGATGATCCTATCTACCCCAGACTTCCTATCCTATCAGGATGATCCTATCTACCCCAGACTTCCGCTCCTGCTGCCGAGTGTCATTCCAATTTTAACGGATGTCCCATGGGACTTTACCTATCGAACCAAAAATTTGAAATCAGTACAAACCCCTCAACCCCCTCTATTTACAAAAAATTGAAACCAGTACAAAGTTACTACTACAAACCCCTCAACTCCCTCTTTTTTTTTTTTTTTTTTTCGTGAATGTGGCCCGATGGACCAGGGATCAGATATTAAACTGAACAGAACAGATACTACACTTGATCTTAGCCAACAGGCCGAGAAAGGTATCCCGCAACTCCCTCTATTTACGAAGAGGATGTAATTTAGCAAAACAGCAGCCAGAAGACGAGGGAGCCCGGCATGGACGAGTTTTCTGCAGCGACTTTCAGCTGCAAAAAGGATTAGGTTCGGCAATTCGGGGCCCGCTGAACTGGCAGTTTGCCGGGGACTGGGCTTCGGTTCCTCCTCAAGCTTAATTAAGTAGCGGGCAGCTTGCAAAGACAAACGCAAATGCACAACAATTGGTTGATTGGAATTAGATAGCCTGTGCCCCTCTGCCTCTGCATCATTTCTTAAAGTAGGACCAGCACAGCTCTGCTACCGCAAGTCCAACCAGATGCATTGATTCGCACGGCCACCACCTTTCAAAGGCGGTGTCTTGTCCGATGCTGCACATTGGCTGTTCGACGGTTTCCAATCCCGACATCGGGTCCGTCACACTGGTGCTCTCAACCACGGATCGTCGATCGGCCGACACACCGGCCATTCTCCGGATATACGGGGCAGCCTGCGCTCAGTTAACGTTGCCGTTGTTTACCAGAGTGGCCAAATGTGGTGAATAATTTTGATGTGACCCTGAGGCAATTTTTTTTTTTTTTTTTCTGCATAACATTTCTCTTTTTTCNTTTTTTTTTTTTTTTTTTTTTGCTGGGACCTTCGGTCCTTGCATGGCCGGGGCCGCCAAGGAAAACAACTTCAAGGTGATCCGGACGGCCCAGCTAGTAGCCTTAAACTCAGTTCAATAATTTAGATTTGTTCATAACTCATCGCAAAAAAATAAATCTAACAGGGTTCTGCAGGGTTCTGCAAAAGGGTCTTGCAGAACCAACGAGCCTAGCTCAGTTGGTACACCAATGAGCTGTTTTAACTATGAATCAGACCCTAGTTCGAACCCAGATGCAACCAGAGGAACAGAACTTGTTCATGAAGCATGGCAAAAAAATCAAGTTGGTACACCAATGAGCTGTTGAAATATGAATCAGACCCAAGTTCGAACCCAGACGCAACCAGAGGAACAGACCTTGTTCATGAATCATGGCAAAAAAATCAACAGAGGTAAGCGAAAGGGTCTGGGAGAACCAATGAGCCTATATCAGTTGGAAAAACAATGAGCTGTTGAAAAATTTGAAATGCAGACCCAAGTTCGAACCCAGTTGCAATCAGATGAACAGAATACACTTTATTAAGTTTATTTCTCTTTTTAATTCTTTTTTCTGCTCCGAATTGCCGGGAGCTGGTCAGTTTAATAATGATGGTATGTAAAGGGCGCCACCCTTTTCGAGAAAGAAGTTAAGAAGAAAAAAAAGGTGGTCTGGCATACTGGTGATTCAAAATCAACTGCAACAGGGGCAGGGGTAAAAAAGTTTAGGGGTAAAAAACTACTAAAAATTACTTAAAAGTTCAGGGGTAAAAAATTACTAAAAATTACTAAAAAAGTTAAAAAAAACTACTAAACAGAGTTACTACACAGGGGGCAATAAATCGAACTTACATCCACTGTGTGTTTTGCTTCCTCCCCGACACTTGCCCATGGTTTTCCAACTGGAATCGCACGTTTTGGGTTGTACAGCTCCACCCATGGGTTAACCCTTCCCAAAATTCTGTCCCCGATAACCATGGCAGAGATGGTGCCACCTGTCATGCCCTGACCGCTGTTACCTGCACCAACGACACATCGGAGAGATATCGGGAAAAAGCGCAAGACCACCCATCCTACGGGGCTGAATGCGATACGCATGGCATTGCACTGTTGATCAAAATTATTAAAAATTAAAAAGACCTGTGAAGGAAAAACAGGGGGTGCCTCTGCCTTCGTTTTTTTCCCCTAAAAAAAAAAAAAAAATCATGACAGTGAGATACACCGGCACCCTCCATGTGTGTGTCACAGAAAATGGTCCATCATCGCTCTCCAGGTAAAAACATAAAAATAAGAGATTTGACCAAACACCTGAGGTAAAATCACAGACAGGGAGAGAAAGAGGGAGAGGGAGAGGGAGGAGGGGGGAGGAATGTACGGAGGGGGGGAAACACAGGCAAACAAGATCTCAAGTTCTCACTGATTCACAAAAAAGGGGAAAGATAAACAGAATTTTAACTGATATCTGGATCAGAGACGCACACACACAAACAAAAAAAAAAAAGAAAAAAAAGAGTGGGAGGTGGCAGATGTGTTAGAGGTTAGAGGAGGTCCCACCAGGGACATAGCCATGCTTCCTTCCTCGGCAGAGCATGAACATGGTCAGAAAAGCAACCGGGTTCATGCTACCGTACCCTCAGTGGCGGCCTGAGCGGCAGACATGGACATGCCTTTTGTGCTGAGCTGGTTCAAAGGGCTCTGTACTCTGACTGGATACCAACAAGGAAGAAATCTGAAACAGCGGGGAGGGAGAAAGGGAGGGAGGAGGGGAGGAAGGGAGGAAGGGAGGAAGGGAGGAGGGGAAAACCTGATTGGTTAAGAAATGTGGTACAGGTTATTCCTGTGGATATGGAATTGTGCCTGCTCAGCTCAATCAATGAGTTGAAGACTTAAAACGTAAAACTGAAGACTGTCAGGGCATACTCATGCTCCCACTTCCGTACCAATCTGTGGACAGAATTGCGGCCATATGCATACACATCTCGTCGTAAATGCGATCCGAAACATTTAAGATAAAGTGGTGGTGCCAGTACTCACTCAACATTTTCCCATGAAAGGAACAAGAAGTGACGCAGCGGATACAAAATGGAGGCAGAGAGGGGAGCCGGTACTAAGGGAAGAAGGTCAGAAGAAAAAGTGTCATCCATAAGGAAAATTGTCATCCATGGGCCCATGCAGTGGTTCGACTTGTACCTGTGGATATGAAAGTGCCTTCTGTGCTGAATGGGTTCAACGGATCTGGACCGTACAGCCCCAAATAATCCGCTGGTTCATAAACCTGCAGACAACCCCAAAGATACTTTGTCAGAAGTTTCAACATATATTATTATATTTCTTTTACAAAAAATGATCATTGACATTGATTTGGCTAGAAGAGGGGCAATTTCTCTAGAAAAAAGTGGATACAGGGGGAGAGGGGGAGAGGGGGGGAGGGGAGAAAGGTGGAAGAAGATGTGTACTTCCCTCAAAAGTTCAGGTATCAAAAAGGCGGAGAAGTGGGTGGTATGGCGACTGACCTCACATCGTCCAATAACGCATCTCCTCCACATCGTAGGAACAGATCAAGGGACACGGAATTAAGTTCAAGAATCCGATCTGTTGATTTTCCTGTCTATTCTTTCCCTTCTGTTCTTTCTTTCTCCTGTCTATTCTCCAAAAATGTATGTGCTATGACAGAAGCCTTCAAGTACGTACTACGTACAGTATGTACCCAACATACAGTACTGGACCGTACGTACAGTACGTACGATACGTACAGTACATATGGTGCGTATGTACACACATGACATAAACTGCAGCTGAATCGACTGGATGTGGCGGTATCGTCAAACAGAACTGCCCGGTAAACCGTAGGCAGAGAGGGAGAAGAGGACAACAAACGAGGGGCTGTGATATATATGCGTCGGTGAAACTCCGACGAAACAGTTTGTCACAGCCCCTCGTTTGTTGTCCTATTCTCTCTCTCTGCCTACGGTTTACCGGGAACTGCCCGGTAAACCGTAGGCAGAGAGAGAGAAGAGGACAACAAACGAGGGGCTGTGACAAACTGTTTCGTCGTATATATATCACTGTCTGGTGAACCCTAGACATATTTTCACTTGTCACATTTTCAAAATTTCTCATGCCATAAGAAACACACAACGTAGTCACACAGCTATCACAGCCATTTGGAATCTCACCGCGGCAGTCAACGAGTGTGAAATTAATTTTCCATGTCACACATTTGGTTGGTGATTAGTGCCGAGAGGCCCGTATGACAGATTGGAACAATGCAATCGAAAAATCTGGCATCGCCATATTTTTCAGATGCAAAAGCAAAAGCAGCAAAACTACATTTGAGAAAAAAACCATCTGCATCCTCCAACACAGACCAAAGCAGAAAATCACCTACTCACATCACAAGAACACAGCCATGAGTCATTTCAATGCCGCTCAAAAAAAAAAAACCGTGAGTCCATCTGCCATCATCGTATGGAGCACACAGGCACACATGCATCATTGTCACACCGTACCGACTCTTTTAGCTGCCATCATCATCGTAAGGGCGCTAAGTATTATACTAATGTTCATTGCAATACCATCATTTCCTCTGGTTACATTCCATCCATGAGGTTGGATTCCAGGCTCAACTTGGTTCAGTATAAAGGCCGAAGGCTTTCTGTTTTTATACGTCGGTGCTACTCCGCACCAGCTTTCCCCCGGCCCCATGTTAGGTGCTGCTGGTTTCAGGCCCGATTCCTCCTTAAGTAAATAAAAACACCTATCGTAGTTTACGTATTTCTGTGGCAAACAAAAACAAATTAATAGAAAAACCAAAAGATAGATTAAAAAGCTACGGGGCAACAAACAAATCAATAAAAAAATAAGCAATCTGTCAATTTCTGTGTGAGCAATGACCTGCAGATGGTCGCAGTACCGGACCCCTAAACACCACATCCAGTCACTCTCTCTCTGTATCTGACCCGCCATTTGCACTAGAGACAGCCAAAATGAACAGGGGTTGTGTCCAGGTCAAGAAGGTTAACTCTAATACCTGACCCGTCCACTTATACAGTACATCCCCAGCCACCACCCATCGCTTCCTTGCCCAGATCTCCAGGTCGACCCATGCATCCTTCATCTGTTTTGGCTTAATCCCAGTGCTGTGGTCCTCTCCACCAACAATCAGAACGTCCGTGTCACCCTTGGTTTGCAACCTGACATAATGGTATGGCTGCGCTGTGTCCCAAAACTGTGCTCGCCTGCACACACACACACACATAACAATGCACAGAAATGCATACAAAAAGATGTCATTCACTGGCGGATGCAAATCCAGCAGCATCAGGATCAACTTCAACATCATGGTGGAATCATATGCTGGAACCAGGGTCCCAAAGCACAATCTTTTCACCATATCCAGAAGCTCCACACAAATCTCTCTCTCTCTCTCTCTCTCTCTCTCTCTCTCTCTCTCTCTCTCTCTCTCTCTATCTATCTATCTATCTATCTCTATCTATCTATCTATCTATCTGTCTGCCTCCTTGCCTGCTTGCCTTACCTGTCTACATAGCACATCCAATTTTCTGGAAAAACTTGTCACAGTGCTCATTTAACTACTAAAATGAAACATGTTGTTCCTATTCCCAGAGACCCAATCATTTCGAAAAATTTTCGAACAACCCCAGATCATGCCCTTCCATATCTCCAACAAGTCGACACACGTTCGGACACGGCCAGTTCATAGACATTTCCAAACCTGAGCACGCAATTTAGGCTCAATCGTCATAACCACGGACGTATCCAACACATACAAACACATACAAGTTGATACAACACATACACCACACACGCAATGCACACAAATAAGTTGAAATAACCAACCTCGCCCTTCCCCGCCTCCCCCTCCCTTTCTGCCCCTACCTCACAGAGCCTTTTGGTACTTCCAATCCAATAGCATAGGTTCTGTAGGCCGTCTGTCGAGCATGAATGGCAACATTGTGATTGATTGGTGAATTCGTAGCCAAGACCACCGCCTTTGCCGCCACTGTGAATCCATCCGACGTTGTCACAGCATTTCCCTTCTGCTTCCAGACCCTACTCTTCTCGTACAGCCGCCCTCCATGTGCAACAAAGGCCTCCGCAAGCCCATCGAGATATCTGAGTCCCACACGATCATTCACAGGATTCACACATTGAAAAAGGAAAAGACAAAAAAAAAAAAACCATCCGCATCAGCACACAGACCACATCTGATAGCAGGCAGGCGATGTTTCGACGGATAATAATCGCTACAACACACCACACAAACCGCATCTGCGAGCAGGCGATGTTTCGACATATAATAATCGCTACAACACAGACAAAAAGTATAGTCCACATAGGCAAGCAGGCTGGCTGCTCGATATCTAGATTGAACCCCCCTCCCTGCCCAACCTCTCCGCCCCCTTGCTCACTAATAATTGGTAGAGCAATCACCTATCGTAGAACATAATCTAGAAGAGAGGTTCACATTGCCAAGCAAAGCAAAGCAAAACAAAGCAAAGCAAAAAAGACAAGTCTGCAAACAATCAAGTGGCAAACCAATCACGGAGACTAAAACTTCTGCAGCTGAGGATCTAAAAAAAAAAGCCTCTCCACAATGACACGATCTCTTTTAAAGATGTAACAATGCCCAGTTTTCTTGTGCAATCCAATGTCCAGTTTTCTTGCGCAATCCACTTTCGACATTGAATTTTGAATTTCCTCTCCGTGCAGAAAGATAGAACTTCCTAGCTAAAACTTTCTAGCACTGTCTACTTGGTTTAACGGCCTACCAGAGCCCCTGACGAACACGACACCGCATGGGTTCAGTGTGTCAGTGTCACAGAAAAGAGTCTCGGAGACAAGGAGAGGCTCAATGGTCCTGTCTCTAGGAAAGTCCCAAAACGGTCCCCGATCTTGGAGGGAGCTCAGCCTTGCATGCGCTCAGCATGTCAGTATCACCGTAAGCGGAAAGTCTCGAGATTGGCTCAATGGTCCTGCAGATAGTCCCACGGTTACCATCTTCCCTAGGAAAGTCCCAAAATGGTCCACAATATTGAAGGGAACTACCTTGAGAAGAAGGGGCTCCAAGGGTCCTCGTGGAGGCTACCATGTTCCCTCAAAAAGCCCCAAAGTTAACTGCAGGCTGTGTACTAGTGCACAGTGCCTGGAGTCCCAACGATAAGGAAAACAAGAACACGATACCGTGAGATGTGGCGCTACGGCTACCAAGAGGGAGCATGGCAGCCACAGCACCGGAGTTACCCCCCACGTCTTTTTTTTTCATCGTCTTCACCATTTGCTTACCAAAGTAAGCTCTTTTAGTTCATAGTTATGTGACAATATATCCTCAAACAGAGCTGCCCGGTAAACTGCAGGCAGAGAGGGAGACGAGGACACCAAACAAGCTGCGACAAACCGTTTCGGAGTTTCACCGACTCATCACCCTGTCCCCTACTGGATGCAGTTAAATGTTAATCCTTTTTCTCCCCGTCGAATCTCAGAAAGAAGTGGCCGCCAAGTCTTACGTCTTACAATCATCGGACTGAACTGCTGTCAGTATACTTCTGATTGCAGCGAAACTCAAAACACCATGTGTCAGAACTGATACTTCTGATTTCTGCTTGTCGCTTCTCGGACCGTGTTTTGAAACTCAAATCTCAGACTGAACTCAGTCTGCTGTCGGTAAGTCCGAGTCGATACTTCTGATAGCTGATGTCAACAGTTAGTTTACATTGGTGTGTCATTCTGTCACGCGAGCTGAGTGTGTTCTTGTCTGGTTACAGCGAGCGGGATTTGAATTGCAATCAGTTCTCGACTTCGCAAACAGTTGTGCGGTGCACTTTCCACGTGAGCTGGGTGTATGCCAGTATTGAAGGGCTTACTCCCCCTTGAAGTTTCTGTTTGGGACCACCACCCACCACCTGTAGTGAAAGCGAGGGGTCAATGTGAAGGACCAACTGTTAACCCCCAACCATGTCTACAAGACGCAGTTGAACGAGATCTTGTTTTCAAAAGAATGACGAGCAGCACATTTGTTCCCCACAACTATGTCCCCAACAGTTGGGGGAGCACAAATAGCCTCAAGAGCCATGGTACCATGTTCCCTACAGACTGCAAAACGTCTTGGAAGACTGTGCCACTGTAGAATGCTCACTAAGCGGTACCCTTTTTTTTTTTTTTTTTCCCTTTCTGCTCGAACTCAGGGAGTTCCCAGCTCTTTGAAGGACCTGGTGCGGGAGTATACTGCGCATTGCAGCATAGGCAGGTGTGCCTTTTTGCGGTAAGTTGATGAAGCTGAGCGCGAGCTGCCCGCATCCCCGTGTGCCATACAGCCCACTTGTCCGCTGGGAAACAGAGGCAGAGTAAACGGGCCTCTTCGCAGTACATTGATGAAGTTAACAGCAGCTGCCCGGATCCCCATGTGACATACCGGCGCACTTGTACGCTGCGAGAAAGAGGCAGAGTAAAAGGGGCTCTTCGCAGTACGTTGATGAAGTTAACAGCAGCTGCCCGCATCCCCATGTAACATACGGCCCACTTGTACGCTGTGAGAAAGAGGCAGAGTAAAGGGGGAGGAAGAGGTGAAGAAAAGAGAAACAAAGAACGGAAATTTGAAGGAAATTAAGGATAAAAAAGGGCTCAGGAATGAGTCTGTGCTTAACGACAAATACAACACACGTTGTAAGGATGAGGTGACTGGGCGCATGGAAGACCTAGATGAGCACTCTCAGGACAACAATTGCCATGACGGCTGGCATTCAGCATGACCAACGTAGGCTCCCAACAAATGGTATGCCGATTGCAGGCCAAAACGAGGGAAAAACTCGCCACAAAAGACCATGCTTTCCGTATAGCCCCCATGGCCGCAAAATGGACATATAGTATCCGGATGTGGAGGGCGCCTGCAGTCAGGAACGGAGGGACAGTCCTCTACACACACACATGCAGAATCAATGTCATTGTAGTGATTGTGACGGAGACGATGGCAACTACAGCCGAGTGTAATGGTGTCTGTAGCAGCGCTAAGGAGATGGCCGCAGAGTGTCGGTACATCATCGTGCAGAGGAATGATCTTCGACATAAAAGAGATTGCGGACAGTCTGGTGGGGCAAGAAAACAGCGTCATTACGTAAGAATCAGTAACATCAGTCATGGCATGAAGTTATGAACCATGATGCCGTTGTCCCACAACTCCCACTGGTGAGAAGCATGTGTACAATGGCCATTACATGGGCCAGGTGCGTGCACAACGCAGGCAGAGATGTGGAATGGAGGATTAAACCACTCACCTGCTCGAGCATTGCGTAGCTCAATATCACCAATATATCAAACAGAGCTGCCCGGTGAACCGTAGGCAGCTCAATATCATCAATATATGTACAATGGCCATTACATGGGCCAGGTGCGTGCACAACCCAGGCAGAGATGTGGAATGGAGGATTAAACTACTCACCTGCTCAAGCATTGCGTAGCTAGGCAGAGAGGCCTCCAATTCCCATGAGTCTTCCGTTTCTTAAACCTTTTTTTTTTTTTTTCCTTTTTGAAAATTTTGACCACTTCTCGACTTATGCGTGTCATCTTTGCACAGGGACCATTCTGATCTTCTTCTCTGTATCCTTCCATTTTTAGCGGATGTTGCACAGGGGCCATTCTAATCTTCTTCTCTGTATCCTTCCATTCTTAGCGGATGTTGCACAGGGGCCATTCTAATCTTCTTCTCTGTATCCTTCCATTCTTAGCGGATGTCCCGAAGGACCATTCTCCTGACATATCTGCCCCCCTGCTTCATTACCCGAAAAGTTGTGACATTTTTTTCACTAACAAATACAAAATCAATAAACAAAGCACACTTCATGACATCTCCATGTCCTATGCCTGATAGGTAAGAACTTGTTGACTTAGCCCATATGCATTTGCGCTCTCGCCCATACCCAGATGAAGATCATGCTTTTTTCGGCCATCTGCATCTGGGCAATGCAACTAACAAGATGCAGAGAATGAAGCAGGCAGAACTCTTTCACACACACATGCCCGAACATTGCAGCTCTGCTTAGCAATCTCCCTTGGTGAGCATTCCCACTCGGTACTCGGTACTCTTCCGGATGTTGTTCGCTGTGTGTGCCATGGGCACATACTCGAAAATGGCAGCATGACCATCAGCGGCAGAAGAAGCAGGCAAATTCCAGCAGAGGCAGCAGTAGCATTCCCGTGGCTCATCATTCTTACCCACTGCTTCATTCCACACACTCACAGGCGTCCATCAGACTTACTCCACACCCTCTGCTGTCTGTTGTGAACTGCAATATCTGCCAGATTCCGTCCAGAAAACCATCCGACAGTGAATGTGCCCCAAGGTACGATAATAGGCTGCTGCAGCCATCAGCAGAATCAGCAGCATTCCCATCACCCCTCGTTACCCCTCGTTTTTGCCCACCTCATTACCCCTCGTTGTTCACGGGGTTGAGCTACCAAGCCTATTTATCATCTGCAGTTCCGACCACTGAATAGCCTTCTTAACTGCAGTTTTGACCGCGCCCTAAGTTAAGACGGCAGAATCATCAATGGCAGACCATCATCATCATCATCATCATCATCATCATCATCATTACCATCATCATCATCAGCAGCAGCAGCAGCAGCAGCAGCACCAGCACAAGCAGAACATCAGCAGCAAACATCAGCAGCAGCAGCAGAAGAAGAAGCAGAACATCAGCAGCGGCTGCATTCCTATGGCCCTTCGGTTTTACCCAATGCCAGGTTCCGTACAGTGCACCACTGGGTGCACCGGCCTGTATACCGTCTTACTTCTGGACTGGGCACAGCGATCGAATGACTGTGCACTTCTCTCTACTTGTATTGTTTCCCAGTTGGTATCGTCTGTCCAGCACCAGGCTTCCAAAACTCAAACACCGATCTGGCCTTAGCGTATGCCCTTAGATGCAATGGACCTTGGCCACCCTGTTGGTATCGTCTGTCCAGCACCAGGGTTAGAAGCATCCAGAACTCTACCACTGATTTTAAGCTGTCAGATTCATTCACGATGGTGATTCACATTGGTGATTGGTGAATAGTGTATGCCCCTAGATGCAATGGACCTTGTCCAGGGTGGCCTGCCTGCTCCCCGGGCCCACATA